AACGGTGCAGCACTTGTCGCTGATGAGACAGTCGTTATTGTTGCGAATAACAGATCACAAAATGGTTTCTGGGAATCGAATCCTGAAATTTCAAGCTTTTGAATGGAATATTGCATCACCGTATTGCTGGACAGTTCGATGCATGAAAATGATTTATAAAAAGCTGTATTTGAGCCTTTTGCCGGAAGTGTGCTGGTACCGGTACAGTCATCTAAAAGGTTAAAAGTCTCATGAAACACTGCATCATGGTTTTTTTGAAGTAGGAGTTTAATGTGGTATGTAAACACTGTTAAACTTTCAAAACATACCATCGACTCCTCAGTCCATACAGTCCATCTGTAAAACATTAAGCTGCAAAAACACAGCTGGATTTGAAGTCATTGTTTTTGTGATGTCATATATCCATCCATATATCCATATATCCATATATCAGTTTAGCACCACCCATTCACACTGAGCTTATAAGGAATGTCTCAGCCCTGGCTAACAGACAAGACAGTCCAAATAAGACATAATACAGGGCAGCCAATCAGAACAGGGCATGTTTGCATCTATCAGTCTTGAAAGCACAGTAACAAAAACAGCCTGTTTAATTATGAGGGATTAAGAGAGGATGGAAAATGGTCATGATTGGTATTAACAGGCCCAGAGTGTGCCAAGAAAACATTCCCCACACCGTTACACCACCTCCACCAGCCTGGACTGTTGACCCAAGGCAGGTTGGGTTCTTGGATTCATGCTGTTGGCACCGATTTCTGACCCTACCATGTCATGACTCATGACTGTTTTTGGTACATAAAACCACACAAACATTATAAGTGGAATCATGGGAAATTCACCACTTATTGCAGTTGTTAAGCAAAAGTTTGGGCACACTGATCAAGTTACAGGTTTTACTGTGAAAATAAGTTAACACATCGTCTACGTAGAACACACCTATGCACCAGTTACTGTTTATTTTCTGAATTTAACATATTGGGGAAAAAAAATGGGAAAATACATAAAATGTGGCCTGTACAAATGGTATTAGACATTTTATATATCATGTTTTTTTTCCCCCCAAAATGTTAAATAGAAATTGCACTAAAATGAGTAAAAATGCCTTATTTAAGTTCCCTATAGAGAATATGTCAATTTAGACCTGACTAATATGCATCAATGAAAATGCATTTACATACAAACTGTAAGCCTGAGTCACCACACATTTGCCTGATCATTTCACGTTGTTAGGTAATCTCAAATTGTCTGTTTGTTGTCTATAAAAATGAAAAGTCGTATTGCAAAAAAGTGTCCATAACTACATTAGCATCATAGCTCCAGTGTAAAACTACAACACACTTAAGACACCAAACATATCTTGGCTGATTGACTGTGTTTGGGGAAATAGAGAAAATCATGTAAATTGATTTTTTTTTTTTGCCAAACTTTCTTTAATACTGTTAAGATGACTTTTCCCAGATTAGCATAAGCTTTTCAGTACATCTTAGCGGTTCTTTTGAGTTTGCTCTGTCATTGCTTTCTCATTCCGCAGCATTTTCTAAGCCACTTCGCTCAAGAGACCATTTAGCTATCACCAGCGTCTCCTGAAATGATGAGGGGGGGAGAAAAGCCTTAGCAGACGGCAGAGAATAATTTCGGCGTGCTTCTGCCCACATTTTAGCGCTATCTTTCTGTTAGCCGAGCGGGTATTGCTTTATTTTGTGGAGGCCTGATAAATAGGCCTGGAAAGCGGCTCTGCTGGGGTGATTTTCTTCACCGCTCGCTGCTCAGTTCTGCCTGGGAGCACGCTTAGGATATTGTATTAGATAAACTCAGCAGCATGGGTTGTGTTTGGCGCTGGCTGGAATATGACACACAAGAACAGCCAGAAGGCAAGATGATAGAGAATGATGGTGCAGCTGCTTATGGGACCATTTTGTTGTATTTGATAAAATGTGCTTCGCCGTCATATGCTATCCAAGTTCATTGAGCAGCCGTTATGATGTTTCTTCACCTCTCCTTTATTTACCTTTTTCCTCTTTCTTTCCTTTTATCTCTCTCTCTCCCTCCAGTGTCCCAGCTCAGGTGTAATGGTAGTGATACGGTTACTCTGCTGCTGACAGCGCTGTGATATATGAAGCAATAAAGAGGAATTTATGTTAGCAAAAGCTACCCGGCTCCTTGTTGCGGCTCCCAGCAGTAGGACTGCGTCAGCTCTGCTGTTTACGAGTGTAAATCATCTCCTGCCCGCTGCAATGTTTCCGTCTTTGCTTTTTGCTACCCACTCAATTACATATATGGATTTCTGTACGTAGCAGTGTAGTCGATGATTTGAATGAAGTTCATCATGACTTTGAAAGCAAGTATAGCAAAGCCTTGTACTGTGTTAACCACGTAACGTTATGGAATGTCCTCAGGAAAATGGGAATGCCAGAGCATCTGAACGTTCCAGCAAGGCATCTCTACACTGATCAGCAAGCCTCAGTCAGGACGGAATATGGACAAACAGATTGATTCCAAATTGGCAAAGGAGTCAGACATGGCTGCCCACTATCACCATACCTGTTCAACCTAACCTGTATGCAGAACATACAGGGTTATTCAAAAAGGTTCATCCAATTTCAAAATGATTTATTTCACTTGTAAATCTTTACAGAACAATGCAGTAAACTGTAAATGGTTTAACTGAGCGTAAAGTTTATGTAATTTTACAAGTGCTTAATATGAACCTCCTCCAGCTGTACGGACAACATCAACGCCATAGTCAAACTCATCCCATACTCGATTGAGCATGTCGGGTGTCTCTGCACTCACGGCTCTTTCAGTGCGATTTTCGGAGATCATCCAGTGTTGTGGAACCAACAACAAACACTCTGAGCTGTTGGAGGTTCACTGCCCACGAAAATCACACTGCACAGTTATGACGGATTCACTCTTATTGAAGTGGAGAATGCAGAATGCTTTCTGCTCAGGGGTCTCATCTCCTCGCAGACTGAAGGGAGCCATCTTCTGGTGACAGTCAGAAACTCTATTACCCCCTCTTACAATTAGTATGTGATTGGTTCCTAGGCGCCTCACGGTTGTAAAAAATATGACGCTTTTAAAACGGATGAATCCTTTTGAATCGCCCTGTATAATGAGAGGGGCAGAACTGGAGACACAGCTGGCCCACAGATCTGTTGAGATTTTTTGATATGGCCCTTTTAGTGGTTGAGTTTGACACCCCTGCACTATCCATATATTTGCCAGGAGTCAGAGACGGCTTAACAGCACTTTATAATAATGAGCCCAGCATCGGATTTATATAAGGCAGCAGCTAATCCTGTATTAATTCTCATTGTGACTTTGACCGCTGAAATTAGCCTGTCAAGAATGGCCGGAGTTAATTCATTTCGTTTAATATGCCCTTTGCTTCACAATCCCAAGGGAGCCACTATCACCGGGCTGTACGGCCCAGTCCTAGTTGTTTTCTTTCAGGGCTTTGTGAGACAAATTTACAGCCTAACAAATCACAGGTGTTCCTGTGCGCACGGCTTTACGCTCGCTGGCTGCTTCACTAGAAACCCCTACCTTGTAGTTCCACCTTGCTGCTGTTCAGTTAGAGACTGTAGCTCATCTGATGGGGCTCAGTTTGTATTAGCTACTCTGTAAACCCAGGATCATCAGATGGATTTGTCCTGCTGCCAGATTCTCACTTGAGCACATACTCTTTGGGTGTGTCTGTCAGAATGACCTAAGAGGATAATTAATGCCAAGATTCGCCATTTCAGCGAAGAATGAAACCAAAAATGTCTTTATAAAACTCTCTTTAGAATCTCATATGTGTCTATTTATACCTCTTTAAATCTTTATTAGACTGTGCTACAATGTCTCCTGTGTGTGATTAGGCATTTTAGTAGGGCTTGATGGTAGGATAGTGTTCAGTGCTTTAGCCTTTTTATAAGTACTGTGTAATTTTAAACAACTGTAAAAATTTGTTGGAGATTACGTTTGCATTGCTGGTTCATGATCGCCACTCTAGGCCTTCATCAGTGGTCAGTTTCTGACCATGGAGTTGCTCTTGGCTGGATTTTTTTCAGGGATGCACCGAAATCTCAAGTGAAAATAGTCAAAAGTGGCAATTTTTTGGCCAAAAAAACAAAAAAATTAAGTATGACTGCAACAAAGTGTCAAAATCTAACACACTGTTTTATTGTCAGTTGTGTCCTGTTGACAGCAGATTTTATCAATAATAATAGTAACAATAATAACTTCAAGTTTATTATGTTCATTTAAAAGCAGGGGTTTTTAATTAAAATTCAATAAAGTCCAGTTACAGAAAATTTCCTCAAGCAAAGGTCCAGAACATCATAATGTCTAACCTGCTTTATGACTGAGTGCCATATACTGTAGACTGAAGTAGCCTAGTAGGTATATCAACATCTTATACAGTCAACAACTGAATATCAAATCAACTAAAGTGCAATTCAGTCATATTTCAACAACATTTATTGTCAGTTTTCTCTTTTTTGAGCACGACATGTGAAATAACTTCCCTCTGACTCACTTTCTTCTCTGACTGCTGTTTCTCTGCCTCGTCCCTCCCCTGTGTGTGCGTCACTCACTCGAGTCTCAGTGCTCATCGTAATGCACAGATCTGATTGGCTGAGTAGCGTCACGAGTGATACTTACAACGCATGCGATTGGTCTGTGAGTCTCCTCGGGCCGCTAAAGCTACTGTAAAGGCTAGAAAAGTTACGCCGATTAAAATAGGACCACCCTGTCGAAATTAAATAATTCTCCATAATTTCTCAGTTATAAGTCCAGGTCAGCATAGGACAGTGTCTGGGTCCAGACTCGGACCGCGGCCCGCCTATTAGTGACCTCTGATTTAAAAGTATTTATAAAAATGCACTTTTAAAAAAGGTGTGGCTTGAATTTCTGTTTTGGCCAAGAATTTCATTTTATTGTATCACTATATTTTTTTTGGGTGTTATTGTTGTTGAAGTGACCTGTATGTCCCTTCTTTGCTCTCTCCACAGCGAGGCTGGTACGACTCAGATGAGCGCTACTACCTCTTGCTGTTCGGTACTGCAGTCTGTGCCCTTCGATGTATTAGCTTCAGTCTGGAGCTGTGTTGGAACCCCTTGCTGGTCAGAGCTCCAGGCCAGCAATGTTCCTCTCTACAGTTCAGAAAAATGAGGATGTTCATAATGCAGCTGTACAATCTCACTGCCTACTGCTTCTACCATCCACTCTTCTACAACGGACCCATCATTACCTACAGAGACTTCAGCCAACAGGTTAGAGGGACAGTGTGGACACATGTATGTATAGCGGTCAGGCATAACATTATGTTTCTACACTCATTGTCCATTTTATCAGCTCCACTTACTATATAGGTGCACTTTGTAGTTCTACAGTTACAGACTATAGTCCATCTGTTTCTCTGCATACTTTGTTAGCCCCCTTTTACCCTGTTCTTCAGTGGTCAGGACCCCCATGGACCCTCACAGAGCAGGTATTATTTGGGTGGTGGATCATTCTCAGCACTGCAGTGACTCTGACGTGGTGGTGGTGTGTTAGTGTGTGTTGTGCTGGTCTGAGTGGATCAGACACAGCAATGCTGCTGGAGTTTTTAAACACTGTGTCCACTCACTGTCCACTCTATTAGACACTCCTACCTTGTCAGTCCACTCTTTAGATGTAAAGTCAGAGACGATAGCTCATCTGTGTTGGTCATCCTCTGTTGGTCATCTACCCTTCATCAGTGGTCACAGGACGCTGCCCACAGGACGCTGTTGGCTGGATATTTTTGGTTGGTGGACTATTCTCAGTCCAGCAGTGACACTGAGGTGTTTAAAAACTCCAGCAGCACTGCTGTGTCTGATCCACTTGCACCAGCACAACACACACTAACACACCACCACCACGTCAGTGTTACTGCAGTGCTGAGAATGATCCACCACCCAAATAGTACCTCCTGTGAGGGTCCATGGGGGTCCTGACCACTGAAGAACAGGGTAAAAGGGGGCTAACAAAGTATGCAGAGAAACAGATGGACTATAGTCTGTAACTGTAGAACTACAAAGTGCACCTATATAGTAAGTGGAGCTGACAAAATGGACAATGAGCGTAGAAACAAGAAACAAGTCATAATGTTATGCCTGATCGGTGTATGATATATCAGCACACATGCTGATGCACAGTCAGGGATGTATGTGTTCTTTTTTATTGTCAGTACATTCTTCAGTAAATGCTGCTCAGAAAAAAAGATTGCAGAAAGGGGCAGCGTCGCCTGAACGTTCTGCTCTTCTGGAGTTCAATAAATCCATCATCAGATATTGATTTGAAACATTGTCCAAATGTGAAAATCTGTCCAACGCTGAGATTTTTTGCCAAGCAATTGTCTGCTGGTACCAGCATGATTCAGATATCCGCATACATCCTTAATCTCGAATGCAACTTCATTAATAAGGCTTTATATGTGAGTAATGTGAGTAGCTATGCTGATAGTGCTAACAGACAGATTTAGACTTAAAGTAATGATTTGGTAAAAAATCACATTTAAAAAAATTCTCAACTATCTCAAAAGTAGTTGATCAGCTGAGACATATTTGGTGTCCAAGTTGTGGTTATTTTCTTTAGCGCTGGAGCTACGAGGCTAACATTGCTAACAAACACTAGAAGTCAATAGTCACCCTATTCTTCTCTCAAACTGCTTTTAGCCCTTCATTGATGTCACACAGACTTGGGCACCAGGACACAGTGTGACTTACTGTGAACTATTAAAATGAACACAGTGTAGCTGAATACAGCAGGTGGCCGTTTTAGACAGTTTTGTGCCTATTTCTGATTTCCTGATCCCTGTTATGTGGATGCATGTCATGGGTGCTATATTGCATTCATCATTTCTGTTGTTTCTATTTTTTAACATGGTCTTTAGTTTGAAAATATAAGATTTGCAGTTATAAAATGGAATAACAGATATTGTGAACCTAATCAGTGGTGTCCATATGCCTGCATTACATGCGTGCAGTGACGATTTAGAATTTAGCTCAATAAAATTTTTGTCCTTTTTAATAGTTTATAGTAAGTCATACTGTGTCTTAAACCTTACTGATGAGTCTGTGCAACGTTCTGTCAGTTTCATTCTTTTAGAGTGATGTGAAATGGGTAGTTCTAGAGACACTTACCAAGTTCACACTGGTGGTGACAGGCAGCCAGACATCTGAAGCATTTAAAAAGCTATGTTAGAAGCACCTAAACAGCAGCTACCTTACAGAAATCTGATGCCTGAAATGGTTTTCATGGCGCAGAGAGGTAAATGCAGGGTGAAATAGTCCCAAAAAAAAACACCCTTTCCCCCCCAGATGTACCACTTCACTAACACTGCTACTACTGTCTACTTTACCATCATCAACCATATAAACCTGTAGACACATAGATAGACTGCAGTGTTAGATAGTAAGTAGAATGGCTATATTGGTGTTGTAGACATCATGACCTCTGGTTTCTATTACCACCACAGTAAAGAAGTCCAAGTTGCTAACTGTCCCTACTGTCAGAACACTCTTAGGTCCAATACCATTTCTTCTTTTTATCCCCTACCCCTTGTTTTCGAGTGTCACCCTAACCCCTTGGAACTGAGTTACAAGGGTTAGTGGTTGAAATCTTGCCCTACGAAACGGGACCCTCAAATTAAAAAAAAAAAAAATTACTTCGTTAACAGCTACTAGCGCTGCTCTGTAGGTGATCCGGCCCGTCTTCAGTGATAGCAGAGGAGGGTCAAGTTCAGCTCCTCACTGCTGGGCTTTAGTTACAATTAGGGCATCATATGCCTTCAAAGAGGGGGGCAATTATTTATTATCGCCCACGCCTAATTCTTTGGTGATACAAAGCTGAAGTCAGTTATTCACCAGCTTCTCATTCGAATTTTCCCGTTCCACCTTAAATGGAGCAGCAGTTACATTCTGGCGCTTCAGGCGTCAGAACTGCTGGACTATTTAAGGTGGAACGGGAACGTTAGCTAGCTAGCTACTGAGACATTAGCATGCTATTAGTGCTTTTTTTTAATGCTTTTTATGAAGAAAACGACCATAATACACTGAAACGACATTAAACTAAGATAAAACAGTGATTATCGTAATTTTTAACAGAGAAAATTCTCACATTTGTGAGTTTCTTTGGTCTCTTGTTCTCCATCTTGCCGGTTTTTCTTTTTTTGTCATAACTCTCCGTTTGGAGTCTCTGAAAAACCTCTGTTTGGAGGGCCATGTAGCCCCAACACTTCGCCCTACCCCTCTATCTCAACAAAAATCAAGACACCCTACCCTAGACGTGAACGAGCAAAACAGAGGGCTAAGGGCTCAGTGGTAGGAGCAAAGGGTTGGAATGAAATTAAGCCTTAATGACTTTGTTTACATCTTAACGACTGAATAACGCAGAAATTTTGAAAAATTAAAGGAATTCCCCTTTAATAAAGATCTAGAAGCAGTTTGAGTGGTTTAATAGAAGTTTTAGGGACATTTTTGGAGAACATTCGGGTGATTATTGGCTTCTAGTGTTTATTGACCAAACGTCTCTGCTGATTGACTTCATCTGGGGGTAAGTGGAGAATTTTTGCAATGGATGTCATTTAACTGAGTCATTCTTCTCCAACTGAGTCTGCATTTTGTTGCATATATTTAACCCCATATTACAAATGCTAGCTCACTCTGCTTAGAGCAGGTGTAAGGTTTTTCTGGGGTGCACTGAGGGTGGTTGCATCGGGCTCTGTGTGTGATGGGTTTAGGCCAAGGGGCTAACGCAGGTTGATGCTGACTCAGTAGTGCTGAGTTCAGTAGCGTGAAAAACACTGCTGTGCACTCCCACACCAGTATAGGGCTTTAGAAAGGTCTTCGGACTCTCCGCTGTTTTCTCAACCCCTCCCTCCTTCCCTTTGCAGATGGAGAAGCCAGTGTGTAAGGTGTCAGCAGTGTGGGCATTGGGCAGAATCATGCGTGTGTGTGTCTGGTGGTGTTTGGCAGAGCTCATGATCCACCTCATGTACATGCACGCCATCCAGAACAATGAGACCTACCTCAACATACTCCCACCTTGGGCACTGGGTAAGCCTGCGACTTACAGACATGTCCTTTAAGGCTGCACGGTTCATTTCAAATTAAACAAAGTATAGAAACATAAGCTTGCTATTGCATCACAGTCAGTAAGTGTAGTGAGTGCAGTGATTACTGATCCCTCTGTCGAGCATTGTGACCAATCACAAACGTCCATCAAAAGCAGTTTTATTTCAAGATAAGATAAGATAGTCAAAGGGGTAGCAAAGCACCCAAGAAAAGAAGTAACAAGAGGAGAATTAACAAGCAATTAACTTGTTACCTTATAGACGATATACACCAATTAGGCATAACATTATGACCACCTCCTTGTTTCTACAATCATTGTCCATTTTATCAGCTCCACTTACTATATAGGTGCACTTTGTAGTTCTACAGTTACAGACTGTAGTCCATCTGTTTCTCTGCATACTTTGTTAGCCCCCTTTTACCCTGTTCTTCAGTGGTCAGGACCCCCATGGACCCTCACAGAGCAGGTACTATTTGGGTGGTGGATCATTCTTCGCACTGCAGTAACACTGACGTGGTGGTGGTGTGTTAGTGTGTGTTGCGCTGGTCTGAGTGGATCAGACACAGCAGTGCTGCTGGAGTTTTTAAACACCTCAGTGTCCACTCACTGTCCACTCTATTAGACACTCCTACCTCGTTGGTCCACCTTGTAGATGTAAAGTTATAGACGATAGCTCATCTGCTGCTGCACAGTTTGTGTTGGTCATCCTCTAGTCCTTCATCAGTGGTCACAGGACGCTGCCCACAGGATACTATATATATATAAAATAAATATATTTACACTGTAAGGATATTTTACCCAAATTGCACGTAGAGTATTGCACATGAAGTACTGATTTATATTATACATGGCAATGGTGAGGAATTAACAATATAAACATCATCACCAAGTATGTTACACGTACAGTACTGTTCAAAAGTCAGAGACCACCAGTGTGTGAAATACAGGAGTCCTGGGTGGTCCAGGACACCCTGAATAACTTTTGGGACCCCCCCCTAATGTCTCAAAATCATTGTTTTTGTTGGGGTGTGCGGTATAGGCTTATTATGACGTAAAGCTGTCCATTAGGGCGAAACAGATGCTCAGATTCATTGTTTAGCCTACTTCACCCACAAAACAGCAAACTCCTGTCTGTGATATTCTTTATAACTAGAGATGCAGCACTGATCTGCCTCAGGGTGGCAATGTAGCAAATTGGATCACCCAGATGGTTCTTCACAGCCTAGTAACCATAACTGTGCTCAAGATAGCTCTGATAAACTTTACAATATGCCGCAGCACATTTTTTCACCTGAAAATTTGGCCAATTTTGGTAAAAAGAGTGAATTGTTACTTATTTCCCAAACCAGTGACAAAAGAGGAGATGTGGAAGAGCTCAGTGTGTGGCAGAGCACATTACCAAAGAAGAAGAGAACATTACCAAAGAGGAATTGTTAATCCAAACATTTTGCTGCCATTGAAGCTAGCATCAGCGCTGCTGTGGCGGTGGAGTTAGCAGCCAGCCAACGCTGGAGTAACCAGCTCACATGGGACCCCCAAATACCAGGGGCAAAACAGCCTTTAAATACAGTTTGTTCATTTTTAGGATACATTTTGGAGGAGATCCACTTACATAAGGAAGGAGAAAGTAAAAAAAAATCATAATTTCGAAACATTTATTAAAAGCTACAGATAAAATGGGACTCCTAACAATCTGGTAGACACCAAAACTGCCCCCATCAGATAAACAGCACTTAAAGCTTTCATCTTTGAGAAAGAGGAGAAAATCAAGCTGCTTCAGATCTGAAAACATCCACAGGTGTTTCTGTCCATCCTTCCACTGTGAGAAGATGACTCAGCACTGTGGGTCTGAAAGGATGTGTAGCTGTTCAAGAAGAACCTCACTGAGAAAAGGAGACGGACCTCAACACTATTAACTGTGTTTGGGATTACTTGGTTTGTAAGAAGCAGAAAATGCAACCAGACTGAACTAGGCTTTGGCGATGTCTACCTAATTGGCATATGGCGATGTCTACAGGGAAACATTGCAGTGGTCAGTGACATCAGGGTGTAGTGTTAAGGCCCATTCACACCAAGTATAATTTTTTCGGACGGAAAAACAGATGCAAATTTTTATGTAGTCTATCTAAACTCTCTAATCTAATCACTCTAAAAACGTTTTTTATTTAAAGCACTGCAACTAAAAGATGCCTACCCTGGATACATTCGACTCTACAAAAAAAGACAACATGTAGGACCAATCCCATTTTTATTTGTACCCCTATCCCTTGTTTTGGAGTGTCATGTTGCCCCTTGAAATTGAGTTACAAGGGTTAGTGGTTGAAATCTTCCCTCTGAAATGGGAAGGGGGGGGGCAATTATTTATTATCGCCCATCTCTAATTCTTTGATTGTAACTGCTGCTGTATTTAAGGTGGAATGGGAAATTTAGCTGGCTAGCTACTGAGACATCAGCATAGTACTAGTGACTTTTTATTCTTCTTATGAAGAAAAGGACCATAATACACTGAAATGACATTAAATTGAGACAAAAAATGATTATCTTAATTTTTTAACGGAGGAAATTCTCACATCTGTGGGTTTTATTGTTCACTTGCGCAGCCATCTTGCCAATTTTTCATTTTTTCTCATAAAAATCCGTTTGGAGTACCGTGTAGCCCTAACACTTCGCCCTACCCCTCTATCTCAACAAAAATCGGGACACCCACCCCCTAGATGTGAACACACAAAATGAAGAGCTACGGGGCGAGGGGTGAAATGGGATTGGGCAAAGAGTTTCACCACCTCTTAGAAGAGCCAGCTGAAGCTGTATAATGAGTGATTCTGCGATTCTTTCCGTAAGTCAGTGGGAGAATTTGAGGCCTGTTTGTTGCTCCCCCCATTAAAAAGGAGCAGTTGAACTGCGGTTATATACAGTTGCTGTAACTTACTCACCGTCATTCACAGCCTTTCCAGCTGTGGTCCATACGTTTTCTTTAACCTCTGCATATTTTTAGTCAGCTTTTTCTTGTCGTGTGAGCTACAAACAAAATTAGCTGTTCTGCCACCACCTTGATGCACATTTGTTTGGGCTGCAACCATGACAACGAAGCTCTGATTGATCATCAGTGATGCTGGTTCAACATCATGATATCTGTCAGCCATCGACAGTGGACATTAGGGTCGTCTATCGGCCCAACCCTAGACTGAACTGTGGAGGTGCAGAAAAATATCCCTGCAGATTTCTGTGAAAAACTGAAAGCAAGTGTCCTGAAAAGAATGGACGCTGTAATAAAGGCCAAAAGTGGGCAAACTAAATACTGAAGTGTTTGATATATATTTAGTTGTTGAAGCGTTTGTGGTTTTCCTGATGCTAAAAAATGAAAGTCTCTTTTGAAGTTATTGTTTTGACTAAATAATTGAAGAGATGTCTCTGTCTTTTGTACAGTACTGTATGAGGACCTGGTCTTGGTGAGTGTACACTTGTATAATATGTCACGTACCAAACAGACCAGAAGTTGCTGTGGGAACACAAGATGAAGGACAAAGGCAACCAAAGCATGAAGCTCTGCTGTCCCATTTGTGCAGCAGTTCAGCGATGCATTTTGGTACAGTGGAGTGGAATAACACAGTTATTAGCCACGATAAGAGAGCTTTTTAAGATTCAGTCTAAAGTGCAAGGTGCCCCCTGAGGTTAATGAGGGTCATAGCTGTTGGGGGGGGAACTGTTACCATGTCTAGCTGGGCTTGCCGGCTTTGATGCAGGCTGAACAATTACAGGCTTTTCTGTTTTCCTGTTATATTCATTAGTGTAGCTGTATGCACCAACATCCAATACATGCATTGAGTATATTGAAACAATGTATTGAATATGTGCATTCAATATATTGAGCTGCTACGGCGCAGTTCATTTTCACTACAGTTAGTCACCAAACCCAGACACGTTACCATTGTGTCTAGTTGTGAAAGTGTTTACACTTTCAAGCATTTCTCTCCATATTTTATCAGTGACATATTCAATATGTGCATTGAGTATATTGAATTGACACAACACAGTTAAAGGGGGACTCAAAATTAGAGGTTTAAGATGTATACAGTCATTCAGAGTGTCTCGATGTGAAATGCTCTGTTCTGGAGAAACTCATCGAGTCAGAATTGTTTACAGTGGTGGTGATAGGAACCAGGCGTCTAAAGAGTTTAATTTACTTCGTAAGCTCTTTCACAGAAAGTTATTAGATGACATATGAATATGGTGCCTGATGTGTGAGACATTGAGTGTATTTACATGCACTTAATAATCTGATAACTGCAGAAAATCTGATTTTGTCAGTAATCTGATGGATGTTTTTACATGAACTTGGTTAATTAGATAACGGGGAAACTCTGGGTCTACACGAGTCAGGCAGTAATTGGATTTTTTGCCTTGCAACCAGCCAGTAAACTCACAGAAGACATGACGTAAACGTAATGGAACTCAAACGTCATGCCGCAGCTTTATTTTTAAACCTTGTGGCACTTTACCTGAAACTGTGAACGTACATCATCTAGAAGATGAAGAAAATTTAAATCCTTCATTTTGTGGAGAATGTAGTTGATTTCAGCGTCGATCCAAAAGTGTTTTGCTGCATATTACGGCGACGCTGCTTGCTTATTTTCCGGTACTGCGTTCTGTTTTCGCACATGCGCAGACTGAGAAATCCGAAAGAAATCAGAGTAAGAGTCCAAATGCACTGAGGAAATCTGATTACTGAGCTAAAATCCAGCTCTCTTTGTCAGATTTCTTAATCAGGTCTGTAGACCTTACTCCGATCTCAGAAATCAGAGTGTGCTGTTTACATGACCATTTGAATAATCAGATAACTGCAGAAGTCCGATTATGATCGGATGATGGAGTGCAGGTAAACGCACTCATTGTTTGATGCTAGTTTTGAGAAGGCTATATTTTTAAAATCCATTCGTGATGGAGGGGTACGTGCAAGGTGTTGTAAAGCGGAATAGTCACCAAAGAAAACATATTTTTCAGATTTACCACTATTTTAACTTTTTTTGTTTATTTTTATTTGAGTTGTATATACCTTGTTGATATCAACAAGGTATCAACAGCACTGTAAAGGAATGTTTCTGTACAGTGAGCCATTTCACGTCAGACTACTCTGGCTTGTGTATCTGTGAATGAATTAGGTAGAAAATCAGTGGAATTCCCCTTTGATTTTCAGAATGGCAATTGTAGTCATCAAACACACTTTCATTGTCTCTAATTGTAAAAGATTTTATGTTTACACACTGAAGTGTTTTTTTCCACATTCTGTTTGGAATCATTAGTTCTAAATATTACTTACACATTCATAAATCAGATGATGCCACCTTGTTTAGTTTCCATTGATTTCTGAAAGATACTGATATCCAATATGCCATCCAGGCTGCTTTGACGCAGCGAGGGAAATCAAAGTGCTCGCCGCCTGATACTGTAGGAGCACACAACATAGCTTCCGTAGAAGTGGTGTGTGTGTCGCTGAGGGGAGAGCATGAGTGGGTATGAGAAAGGAGTGTGTGTGTAGCCGTACACTCGTTATTACAGTTCATGTTCTGTGTCTCTTGTGAAAAAAACATTCTTGGCAGCAACTCTGGGTTTTAGATAAAGGCTTTTTAAAGGCTTTTAGCTCTATGCCTGCAGAATACAGAAACCAGCTGGGGATTTATATGGGTCAAAAATCTATGGTAAATTTAGTTATATGTCAGGCGGCACAACCAAAAACAAAGGACTTTTATTTTGACATGCTGTTACGAAAGAGGGGCCAGGGTATTGCATATAGAAGATCCCAAATGACCTTCATGGCGCAGTGCCAGGGTCAGTAGCCCTTCCACAAATTTTGGGGAAAGCTGTGATGCATCATCGTTAGAAGGTTCATTGTACGTCAGGTGTATGTCAGGTGGGCAGGAAAACCATGAAAATATGTCATTATTAGAATTATGTTTATTTATTTCAAAACATATAAGCCTAAACCTAAGTTCAAGCATAAAGGTTTCTATGAGTGTCTAAGTAGATGCCGATTTAATTTGAAATTGGTCTGAAAAGTCAGGTGGCACAACCAGTAAGTCAAATGGTGCAACCAGACCAACACAGTTTAATAACTGAAATAGGCAATTATAGCTTTGATAACACTGACTATATTTAAAATATAAAATGCACGTAGATATAAATGCAAACGTATGCAGATCACGTAATTTTTTGAAAACCTTATTGGTTGTTAAGCCATATATATGTATTCATATACAGTTTGTTATGTATATATATATATATTTTTATGGTATTTAGTAATTACAACAGCATATTAATAGAAATATTTTTAAGTAATTTGAATATAATTGAGGGGTTATTTGCGTTTTGTTGCCATCTGGCAACAGCACAGAATAATTGAACTGCACTCTGAAGTTCAGGAATGAACCAGTTATGAGTACCAGTGCTGTCGAACATTGTTGCTTTTCATCACCCAGGCATGGAAAAATCGATGTGCATAACTGCAAAATATGCATATGTATTTTTCTGAACACAGAAATGTATGAATAATAATGATAGTGAGAAAATCACATGGATTAATGAATAAAAAGTTTACTCTTATTGAGTGCATTGCACATTGCAGTTTCATCGTTGCATGCTGTTGCCAAAAGGCAACAATTATATATTACAGTGTAAAATCAAACGCAGAGCATGTAAATTATTATTATTTTTTATTGAAGTTTTGCATAAATTATTTGAGAGAATTTCAGATGACAAGCTTCACCATATAATATGTGGGAATATACACATTTTATGCATAAACCTCAAATAAAAAAAAAATAGAAGAAAAAAAGACTTTTGTATTATCAAGCAAAAAATAAGTCATTGTTGCCATATGGCAACAGCGTTCAGCAGGTGAATAATCAGGTATTAAAACAAACGTGTAGTTGGATATAAGGAAGGAAGAAATTGTGTATTGTCTTTTTGAATGAAAGAAAGGTAAACATGTAAATCAGTATAGAAGCCTACATTCTGTTCATGTTTATAAACAACAGTATGTCATACAGAGGCTGAGACCACGCGAGTCTGTTTGTATCAATAAACTTGCTGTCCGGTGTTTTCCATCTTACAGCGTGCCTGAGGTCTCTATACGCTCTGAGTTAATGCAGCATCAGAGTCACTCTGGCTGCTGACTGCATTTCCTCTTATTAATAATCCAGCACTGTGGATGGATGTGGGTGTAGCTGGAGTCTCTGGAGGTGACTGTATGCATATGGGACACTTTAGGCTTTTATGAGAGGTTGGAGGACGGATGTAACGCACAGAGGGAGAAATGCAGCTGTCAAACTGCTCCAGTCCATCTTTTCACAGATTTATTCCTGTGTGCATTGCTCCTCTTCCTCCTCTTCCTCCTCTTCCTCTGTACGCTGTTTTCGTGTTGCTGTTACTGCTTCTCATTACCTCTCACTTCTGCCTCGTTCTGTTCTTTCTGTTTTTCATCATTCTTTCCTTTTTCTGTCCCACCTGTGTCTTCCTGTCACACTCATTTGGTCTCCCTGTCCCCTCACTCTTTCTTTGTCCATTTTCCTCTGCCTTTCTTTACTCCTCTTTTTCTCTCTCTCAGTCTGACAGTGTGAAAAGCTCCTCCCTCCAGTGTGTGGCAATATAAAAGGTTTATGGACCTTTTGCTTATTTCTAAAACATCGTTTTTATTTACCTTCTCACCCCTTCTCTATCTCTCTCTCTCTCTCTCTCTCTCTCTCTCTCTCTCTCTCTCCCCTCCCTCCCCCTCTCTCTCTCTCTTTTCTTTCATCCTTTTCTGCTTTTCTCTCCCTCTTTCTGTTTCCTTTTACTCTCTCTCTTTCTTTCACCTTCTCTTTCTCTGTTCCTCTTCTTTCTCTCTTTTTCCCCTCTCTCCCCTTTTTCCACTTTCTTCCTTTCTTTTTCTCTCACCCTCTGCCCATCCCCCTTTCCGCCTTCTGTCTCTCTCCTTCTTCCCTGTTCTCTCCCGTTCCTCCATCCTTCTCTCTTTCTTTTTCCCCCTTCACTGACTCTCTTTCCTCTTGTCCTTTTCTTTCTTTCTTTCTTTCTTTCTTTTTCTTTCTTTCTTTCTCCCTCCCTTTTCCTTTCTCTCTTCCCTTTCCTCTCTCTCTCTCTCTCATTCTCTCCCTCTGTTCTCTCTCCCTCTCCCTCCATCTTTCCCCTTCACTCACTCTTTCCCCTTGTCTTTCTTTTTCTTTCTCTCTTTCTCCTCCTTTCTCCGCTTTCTCTCTCCCCCTTTCCTCTTTCTCTCTCTCTTTCTCTCTCTCTCATTTTCTCTTTTCCCCTTTTTTCTTTTTCTCTCTCTAACTTTATTTCTCTCTCCCTCTTTCCACCCCCCCCTCTCTCTCTGTACTGTAGGTGGTTTGGCTCTGGCTGTGGTTCAGTTTTTCTATGTGAAGTATCTGGTGCTGTTCGGCGTGGGGTCTCTGCTGGTCACTCTGGACGGACTGGACCCTCCCCCACTGCCCCGCTGCGTAAGCATCATGTACAGCTTCCAAGGGATGTGGAGGTGAGACATATATGCACACTCAAGCGCGCAGTCCGTCACACCCACCCGTAACCTTTATTATCTGACTCTGCACTTCTTGCTTGTGACATTTTAGCCCCCAAGTCAATCTTGTGTATCTCTGTATTAGAAAGCCATTCATTCTGCTGAGCAGCAACTGATGCCAACTCATTTCACACTTCATGTTCATCTAGCAGAACTACTGTCAAAATAACAGTGTACGTGTATGACCTGCAGGGGGCAGACCTGCTCTATTTTCACCCTGATCCGTTACAGTAAAGAGATGTACCTAGGAGCCCCACGCCCACCTCACGCGTACACATACGTACACCCACAGATAAATACAAGACTGCCACATATAAAATTCATGCTGCGTCTTAACTATTTTATATCACCCCGGCCATAAATAGCTGCAGCCCTCGTGCCGCTGTGTCGTGTTGGTTAAGTGCGTGCTCAGTCAGACTTTTCAGCGGGCGGCTGGGTTCTCCCGTGAGGAATTATAAAACATGCTCATACATGCACTGCTCCTCCAGCCTGATTGAGTTTTTTGTGCTAAAAGCCTGCCATAATTCAGTCAGAGACTTAACAGCCTTCCAGGCAGTAAGGATTCTAGAGCATTCTAGGCTTTTATGTAGAAAACCTAAAGCATTCACGAGTTTAAGGTGGGGATTATTCGGGAGTTAAAAGCCTGATTCTAGGGGTTCTAGAGCCTTAAAGACTGGAGCCTAGGGAATCCTGGAAAATCCAGAGCATTTTAGACTTTAATGTCTAGAGTCTAGAGTATTTAATTTAGAGATTCTAAAGGCTTCGAGACTTTATTGTACTGGTTCTAGAGCAATACAGACTTTATTATACGACAATCTAGTGCATTCTAGACTTCACTGGAGGGATTCTAAGGCTTTCTAGACTTTATTGTAGAGATTCTAGAGCATTCCAGGCTTTACTGTAGGACTTCTATAGCATGCTGCACTTTTGTCAGAATTCTAAAGCATTCAAGAGTTTAAAGTACAATTCGAGAGCATTCTAGGCTTTTAGGTAGGAAATCTAAAGCATTCAAGAGTTTAATCTGGGCATCATTTGGGTGTTAAAAGCCTGATTCTATAGATTCTAGAGCCTTGGAGACTGTAGCCTAGGGAATCCTGGGAAATCCAGAGTGTTCTAGACTTTAATGTATAGAGTCTAGAGAATTGTAGACTTTCATTTAGAGATTTTAAAGGGTTCAAGACTTTATTGTACTGGTTCTAGAGCAATACACACTTTATTATAAGACAATCTAGTACATTCTAGACTTTATTGTAGGGATTCTAGAGCTTTCTAGACTTTATTGTAGAGATTCTAGAGCATTCTAGGCTTTACTGTAGGACTTCTACAGCATGCTACACTTTTGTCAGGATTCTAGAGCATTCTGCTTTTAAAGTTTAAAGTACAATTCGAGAGCATTCTAGGCTTTTATGTAGGAAATCTAAAGCATTCAAGAGTTTAATCTGCACTTTATTTGGGAGTTAAAAGCCTGATTCTGTGGTATCTAGAGTGTTATAGACTTTAATGTATGGAGTATAGAGAATTGTAGACTTTCATTTAGAAATTCTAAAGGGTTCAAGACTTTATTGTACTGGTTCTAGAGCAATACAACCTTTATTGTACAGAATATAGAACATTCTAGACTTCACTGCATAGATTGTAAAGCTTTGTAGTCTTTACTGAAGAGATTCTAGAGCATTCTAGGCTTTAATGTAGGAGTTCTAAAGCATACTACACTTTTGTCAGGATTCTAGAGCATTAAGTGTAGAGATTTTAGGGCATTATAGACTGTAGGTCTTCCAAAGCATTCTAGACTTTTTGTAGAGATTCAAGAGCAGTTTAGGCTTAAAGCTAGGACTTCTAGTTCTAAAGTTAAAATGTAGGGATTTTACAATTCTAGAGCGTTCGAGACTTTAATCTAGTGATAGAGCATTTCCTGGGGATTCTAGAGCATTCTTCTGTTTTAAAGTATGATTACATGTGTTCTAGACTATTGTACACTTCAATCTAGAGAATCCAGGGCATTATGGACTTAGATCTTGGGGTTTTTAGAGCATTTTAGGCTTCAGTCCAGGGGTTCAGTCTACAGTTTAAGGGCTGATTCTAGTGATTCTAGAGCATTCTATAACCTTCTAGGGCTTTTAGAGCAGTTTCTATGGTGAAGTGCCTCAGCACAGCATTGCGTTGTCTCTGATGTAACACATGATTCAGCTTATGAAGGGCTTTATAATTAGCTGATGAATGTGCTGAAGCAGGTGTGTTGGAGCAGGGAAAACACTGTGCAGCTGCAGAGCGGGAACTGGGAGCTGCTGCTCAACAGCATCATGGATTTGTGGCTGTCATTTCCGACATGCCTGTGCAGCACCAAAAGTTCAGACTCGACCACTCTTAAACATAAATTTTTATTGTTTTTAGAAATTACAAGACGTATTCATGAGCAGTGAGTATGTGGTATCATAAGAGCAAGAAGAAAAACATATAACCGCCCATCCCAACCAAAACAAGGCCGCCCAAAGAGGTACAGAAAAACAAAATTCCACATCCTTCACAATTTACTAAAACAGGGCTTTGCTGATCCCGTTCATTGCTCTTCACTTCACTAGGCTCCTACGTACACTACCTGCCTTCTGGTGTTAGAGAGGATTTCCATTCTAAAAAGTACTGACCTTTTAAGATGGTATCTATGAGTTCAGGGGGCAGATGCTCTGAATGGTCTCCAAATTTTCATAAATAACAGGTCGCTGCCCCTGAGTACTGCAGCTAATCGTTCATGAGGAAGTATCCTAAATATTTCCCTAAACCACTGAGTGACAGAAGCTGACATCTCTCTTACGACATGATAAACTATAAAATGGCAGTATAAACATCTAAAAAGTTCACTTGAATGGATTTCGCGCTTCAAAATGTCCGTGTTTCAGTCAGAAGTTGCGTCAAACCCAGGCTGAATCCCAAACGGCTCTGGACTCCCTAAATAGTATGCTAGCTATGGAAATTTAGAAATTCTGGCCTCTATAGCCAAATAGTGCATCATTTATTGAGCTATTTCTTAGCTATATTTTGCACCGTTGGGCTGTAGGATCCAGTATTTTAATTTCCTATGTAGTGCACTATGTAGGGAGCAGGGAGCCATTTGAGATTCAGCCCCAGTGTGAGAAAAGGGGCGCTGCTGGTGCTAAATAAGACTCGTGGTTGTAATTTGGTGACCAAAAAGCACTTATAAAACGAAGTTTTTTGCATCAGTCAGTGCTGTGTTATCATATGTTCATTGTTATACGACAAAAAGTTTAAAAAATTAATGAAATGACTGCAATATACAGCAATGGGCGACCAAACGTTCTCCTCATTTAGTGGTACATGGCTTGGCAATGATGCCATACTCTAAAGGAACTACATTTCTTGGCGGAAAACTTGTTTATGTCAATATTATTAATAATAACTTAAATCTATGTAGATCAAATTTATGTTTGTCACATAAAACTCATGTTGAATCCCAAACGGTGTTGATGTGAGTCCCAAATTATTATTTCTTAGCTATATTTTGCACCGTTGGTTGCAGGATCTCTCTCTCTCTCAATTATTAAGAATACATTTCCTTGCTAGGAATAACGGTTTGTCAAGCAAGTTATGAGGTAGAGAGGATAGAGAAACTGTTTTAGAGGGGAGGCCTAATAAAAACAAGCCTGGATCTCCTCTTAGTTTTATGTTGAGAATTCTGCCAATTACCTGACTTATACATTTCCAAAATCTCAAAATGAGTTTACACTCCCAAAAGTAATGAATTTCATTCTATCACTAGTGTTATATGTAATCTCTCCCTCTCCCATTTGGACTCGAACACTCATGATTTATTTATTTATTTATATTTTTCACATTTTAGAGTAATTGTGAAGACATCAAAATTACTGGCCTTGGAGAAAATACACCGATCAGGCATAACATTATGGCCACCTCCTTGTTTTTACCCTCATTGTCCATTTTATCAGCTCCACTTACTATATAGGTGCACTTTGTAGTTCTACAGTTACAGACTGTAGTCCATCTGTTTCTCTGCATACTTTGTTAGCCCCCTTTTACCTTGTTCTTCAGTGGTCAGGACCCCCATGGACCCTCACAGAGCAGGTACTATTTGGGTGGTGGATCATTCTCAGCACTGCAGTAACACTGACGTGGTGGTTGTGTGTGAGTGTGTGTTGCGCTGGTGCGAGTGGATCAGACACAGCAGTGCTGCTGGAGTTTTTAAACACTGTGTCCACTCACTGTCCACTCTATTAGACACTCCTACCTTGTCAGTCCACCTTGTAGATGTAAAGTCAGAGATGATAGCTCATCTGCTGCTGCATAGTTTGTGTTGGTCATCCTCTAGTCCTTCATCAGTGGTCACAGGACGCTGTTGGCTGGATATTTTTGGTTGGTGGACTATTCTCAGTCCAGCAGTGACACTGAGGATGACCAACACAAACTGTGCAGCAGCAGATGAGCTATCATCTCTGACTTTACATCTACAAGGTGGACTGACAAGGTAGGAGTGTCTAATAGAGTGGACAGTGAGTGGACACAGTGTTTAAAAACTCCAGCAGCACTGCTGTGTCTGATCCACTCGCACCAGCACAACACACACTAACACACCACCACCACCTCAGTGTTACTGCAGTGCTGAGAATGCCACCCAAATAGTACCTGCTCTGTGAGGGTCCATGGGGGTCCTGACCACTGAAGAACAGGGTAAAAGGGGGCTAACAAAGTATGCAGAGAAACAGATGGACTACAGTCTGTAACTGTAGAACTACAAAGTGCACCTATATAGTAAGTGGAGCTGATAAAATGGACAATGAGCGTAGAAACAAGGAGGTGGTCATAATGTTATGCCTGATCGGTGTACATGCAGCTATTACATGGGCCAGTTCGACAAATAACAGGCTGCTTTCTTTTTGCCTTTTAGTGAGATTAATGTCACTGCCTTTAACAACATGTGCCTGAGAAAT